AAAAGTAACATTAAAACTTCATATACTTTTCTCTATTAAAGTTCTGAAAGAAATCTAAATATTTACACTTCATCTCATTCATCTCCCTCATCTTTCTTTTCTATTTTCTCGGTATAGATTCTCAGCAAAGCCAGTCTTCTAGCATCTTACACTTACTAAATAGCCAACTACCTAACAATGAATACCTAACTCAGTTTCTAAATTTTTCACCTAGTCCTGACCTTAGAGGGTCTGCTTCACGTGCTCAAAGTGGTGAGGACCGTAAGGAAAGTTAATAATCAGGACCAAACTTGGTTCCCAAGCTCATCGATTTGATTCATGAGCTAAAACAAATTTGGGATGTACTGTAAAGTTTATAATTACCTCCTCATTAGATATTATTGAATTAATGAAAGTTTCCTATATTGTCGAAGTGAATTATGAATATTTTTGCCGAAAGTTTTGCTTTTAGTTAATATTCAGAGATCTATTTAACTGGTGATAATAATATACGAAATCGACAACCTTGCTAATAATTTGTATTTAATGGTAAATATCATAAGATATAAGATGTGTTCCTTCATTTTATTAAAGCCACTTCATAAAAGCAGACAACATAATATACATATATATATATATGTCTACTTATATAACACAATTTTTAGATGTAAAAAAAACACAATTTTAAAAAACATAAGTTGATCAAAAATATAACATATAGGTTGATCTAATTTTTTTAAAAAACATTAGCCTAACATTTTTACTATATATGTGACTAAATTTTCGAAGTATATATATGTTTAAACTTAATTTTAATAAAACATGCACATTTTCAGCTAAACTTTTTATATACAATAGGGGGATTTGTTCCTTCATTTTAATAAAGACACTTCATAAAAATAGACAACATAATATATATGTCCCAATTATGATCATGCGCCACAAATCTTGTTAACATTCTCTAATTATCACGTCTAATAATGAAATGCATTAAAGGGGATTTGATATTTTCACAGTACATGTAAGGAAAGTTAATAACCAGGATCAAACTTGGTTCCCAAGCTCACCGATTTGATTCATGAGCTAAAACAAATTTGGGATGTACTGTAAATTTTATAATTCTCTTCTCATTACATATTATTGAATTAGTGAAAGTTTTCTATATTGTCAAAGTGAATTATGAATATTTAGGCCGAATTTTTTGCTTTTTATTAATATTCAGAAATCTATTTAACTGGTGATAATAATTTGATTTGTGTTTAGTTTTAATTAATTTACAAATATCCAAAATTGACAACTTTACTAATAATTTATATTTAATGTTAGTTCTTAAATATCTATATTTAGAAAACACGTAATAAATATAGGCAATTATTGTGATTAAAATTTTCCAAAACAGAAAATGGTGTCAATTTGGCCATGCTTATTACTTATGTAATGTTCACATAAACTTTAATGAATATTTATGCCGAAATTTGCTCATTTTGTTAATTCAGAGATCCCCTTAATTGGCGATAACTCATAATTAGTGTTTAATGTTTTTAATCTACAAATATTACAAATTGACACATTGTTGGTCTATTAACATTTTATTCCTTAGAAATGCATCAATTTTTTGGGCACAGATTTTTCAAAAGAAACATAGTAAGCCCTATTTATTATTTCAAATCAAATTTTATAAAAAAATAAAAGTTTGACCAGTATGGCTTATAAGGTTCTCTATAATATTAAATATCATAAGATATAAGATGTGTTCCTTCATTCTAATAAAGATACTTCAAAAAAATAGACAACATAATATACATATATATATATATATATATATATATATATATCTAGTTATATAACACAATTTTTAGATGTCAAAAAAAAAACACAATTTTAAAAAATACATAAGTTGATCAAAAATATAACATATAGGTTGATCTAAATTTTTTTTTTTAAATATCGGCCTAACATTTTCACTATATATGTGACTAAATTTTTGAAGTATATATATGTCACTAAATTTTCGAAGTATATATATGTTTAAACTTAATTTTAATATACCATGAACATTTCAGCTAAACTTTTCATATAAAATAGGGAGATTTGTTCTTTCATTTTAATAAAGACACTTCATAAAATTAAAAAAACGTAATATATATGTCTATATATGTCTACTTATATAACAAAACTTTTAAAAATACATAAGGTGATAAAAAAATAACATATATTTTGATCTACATTTTTTTTTAAATATCAACCTAAGATTTTTACTATATATGTCACAAAAAATTTCGAAGTACACAAAATTTTCGAAGTATATTTAAAAAGAAAAATCTTGCCCAATGAGTACACTAAATTTTCGAAGTACACTGTCCTCATTTTTTAAGTACACTAAATTTTTGAAATATATTACAGAAATGTATGTTGTTTAAGAACAAAATATAGAAAGGAGATAAGGTCTTCAACATGCATTTAGAATTATAGATATACTATAATCAATTGGTATATTTATTTGGTAATGGCATAACATGTAATTAGTCTAAGCAAAAGAGGGTTACTCACTAAATGATGTGAGGTGCATCGTAGTGTTGACACCTAAGAAATGACAAACTTGTTAATCACACGTGAACTTAAGGTTATAAAATAAAAGTGCTCCTCAAATAATAATAAGGGGATCAGTATGTCTCATAAATGTTTTTAATAAAGTGACTAGTAGAACATTAAATGATTGATATATAAAATATATAGATATATTTTTATTTCTATATAATGTATCTTATTTAATTTTTATATTGTTATTGAAAATAATACATCTTATTTAAATATATATTATTATATTTTAAATGTTAAATATTTCTTTTAGAAATGTTGTAGTTTTATTTTTTTATTTTTAAAATTTTAATCTATGAATATAAATACAATTTTGTGATATTATTAAATAAAATAAAATTATTTGAATTTTTATATATTATAATTGTAAATACTCTTTTAAAAGTTTCAAATCTTTTTACTGAACAAAGAGCATTTAGAAATCATTTACATCTTCTAAATGCTATTCTAAATGACTTCCTAATCACTGTTAATTGGATAAAAAAGAGAAAATGAATTTCGCCCAATCTCCTAATAATAAGAAAATAATTAATTGATAATCTCTATAAATTAATAAATTTTATCAGTCCCAATTCAGACTGATATAAAATTTGACACAAATCGATAAAATAGTAAGATACTAATTTTTAAAAAATTATATATAAATATATGGTCCCATTAAAATTATAAATTAACAATTTATATATATATATATATATATATTTTATATAACTAAGAACATATCACAATGGAATTATTTTTATATTTCTTTAACACTTAATATTTTTTGATGAGATTTAGTAATATTATATTTAGAAACAAATTTAAATTCTTTGCAATATATCATATACACAAGATAATATAATAACATTAATATAAATGTCAATTTTTTTTTAAAAAGTCATAGCTAATGTCTATACAATAAAAAAAATATTTTCTTATCTTATATTAAATATTTCTTAAAATAACAAAAGCTAAATAAGAAAACTTTAGTAAATTAATATCTTTATAAATTAATAAAATTTCCAAGTCCCAACATTAATAATTTATAGAGGTTTTATTGTATTCTGTTGGTTACGAATAATTAATTCCTTATAACGTAACGTAAACCATTGTAAACAAAATTCTCATAAGCATTGGTTACAAAGGTGAACTTTTCCCAAAGTTCGTTATTCCAAACAAAAAACCGCAGAAACCAGAAATAAACTTGGAAAAGTTGATTGCGCTATAAAATAGATGCGAAATACATGCCCCAAATAGCCTAGCCAAACTTTATTCTTTTGCAGCAAACTTCAAAAAAAATCTTCAAATTAACACTCAATAACACCTTAAATCTCTTATTTTTTTACTATCATTTTAAACCTTTAACCTGACATCTTTATCATAAAAAAAGTTAATTGACTTATTCATTTATCATGTCAAAAATGTGATTGTAACTGTTCATTTACGAGTAAAAAAATGATGGCGTGTCAATTTTTATGATTAATACTTTTTTAAGAAAATAAATAAGTAAAATTAAATGAAAATTAAAAAATATAAATTTTATAAAATATTGTAATTAAAAAAAATGTTTTACATGTTTAAATAACTAAATTTAATCTTATAAAACTAAAAAGTATTCAAATATTTTTTTGAAAAATTGTCTATGAAAAAAATCATATTTAAAAAAATCAATTATATTTGTTAAACTTATAATAATCAAAATAAAAATTCAAACCTTAAGAAATGGGGAGGAAATACGTGTAAGAATCTGTGAATGATGAAGAAGCATTCCTCCTATCATTTTTATGATTGAACTCATGGTAGGATAAGCACAAAGATCAAAGCAAATCAATCGTGAAGCCAACCCATTGACACGTAGCGATCCGTGATTGGTTTGTTTCTAAATTTTTTTATTTTTTTTATTTTTTTAAATTAAAAAAATTAAGAACCCTAAGTGGGATTTCTTGGGATAATAATGCCCTAAGAACATTCATTTTATACCAATATATGATTACAGAGATTTCCTGCTGTGATACCTCAATCGTGATTCTTGATACTTTCATCCAATAACAGCCCCATAACTTTAAAAGTGAACATTTGAACCCAATCATGAGTTTCAGATCTAGATCGACATTTTTGTAGGTGCATTAAAAAAATTAAGAACCCTAAGTGGGATTTCTTGGGATAATAATGCCCTAAGAACATTCATTTCATACCAATATATGATTACAGAGATTTCCTGCTGTGATACCTCAATCGTGATTCTTGATACTTTCATCCAATAACAGCCCCATAACTTTAAAAGTGAACATTTGAACCCAATCATGAGTTTCAGATCTAGATCGACATTTTTGTAGGTGCATTAATTTTCCAACTACCATTTATTTACTACAACTAGTTAAACAACAAGAAGAAGAGTTATCACAAAATACTTTAAAAAAGAAGAAGTTAAAACAGAATAGGTTAATTTAGATAATTTATTAACATGAAACAGTTTAAAAATATGACCAGTACACAATACTTATTTCAAATACAATACTTTTAAGACTTTTTAATACATTAATGAGTTACATCAGTCAATATATCATATAGTCGTATAATACTGATCAGGAACAAGATATACCAGCGACTCTACTCGGCTGGAATCGCTCTGACACGGTTTTTCTATCAAGCGAGTTGATCTCTGATCTACCCAGTTCTAACGACTCCCTTGACTCGGGAATCGTCGTGAGGGATCCCGTATTGTCGAAAACAACGTAGTATTTGTCCATATCTACGTCGCCGTGACATGCCTTAAAGGGAGCGTTTGACTGTTTCTGCCTGAAGATTGACTTTATGAGTTTCTGTAGTGAGCGTGAGATCTTGTTTGATGGCTGCTTCTTTGTCGACGATGAAGACGTGGATTCTGACTGTGGAGGAGGAGGAAGGTGAGGCATGGACATGGATCTAGCGGAAGAAGAGATTGCGGAGTCAAGTTGACGATTGAACGAGTTGAGCTCGAACGAGTCATAGAGTGTGCTTTCACAATCCCATACTTTCTTATTCGTCATCTTATGAACGTTACTCTCTTCTGTGTTTTGTATCAGTTTCATCACCTTCTTATCCTTGTGTTGAGTTTCCATCCTTTTAGTATTTTCTGATCTTTGAATCGAATTTTTGCCTGTACAATTAAATTACTAACGCAGCATTAGACAAATATTGAAGTAATCAAATGGGTTCGTGAAAATAATAGAATACATGATATAGTTATAAAATTTCACTTCTATATTTTATTTAAAAAGGTTCATGCATGAAATAGGATAAAAAAACCTCGAGTTTTTGCCCTTACAATTAAATTACTAACGCAACATGACTACATGGGACAAATATTGAAGTAATAAAATGGGTTCGTGAAAATAATATACATGATATAGATATAACACTTTCCCTTCTACATTTAGTTAAAAAGGTTAATGCATGAAATAGGATAAAAAACCTAATAATCGATGTACAAACTTAATTAATAATTTGAAACAATATTCAGACCTTGTTGTAAAAACAAAGGCTATGATGGGAAAACCTAAAAACCCACACTTTCCTATCGTTATCTCCATGCCATCACATATATATATATATATGATGATGAGGATCTCACGCTCTTATGAGATTGATCATCTCGCGTCTTACCTGGTCTTAAACCCTCCATGATTTTGAGATGCCCTTTAATAATAGTGAACTTTTGACCATTACCACTCATCACATCATCTTTCTTTGTCTTCTTCTCATCCTCAGCTTTTGTTGCTATCTTCTTTGCTTCTGAGGCTTTTGGTTTATTTATCTCCATCTTTCTTTCTATGGTGGAACCTTATCAACCCTTTTCTTTTTCTTTCGGTAGTGGTTATTTGCAGATTATATATAAACTGATCAGAGCTATACAGATTCAGTGTTTGGTGAAGAATGAAACGCGTAGCGTAGCAAAATAATTTGTCTATGTTTGACACTTCAACTGCACACGGTCTCTTCATATGTCAAATGTTGCAATTAATGATACCTCTCTGTGTTTTAGTTTTTATTTACTATATAGAAATTCGGAATATAAGGTCTTTGATTTTTCGATGTGGCTATGTTTAAACCAACGATTATATGTGACGTTTTCTATATATAGCATGAATCACTTATTTTTCTGCAATTTTCATATCTATTTTCGCTTTAGTTATAAGCAAATCAAATTTATGAGGTTTCGGTAACTTTTTTTCAATGTCTGAAAGCTACACCCATATATTCATAAAAAGGAATATCACATGCATTATCGTTCAGAAAATAATATGAAAAAGATCCCGTTACGTAATGCGAGGTTCGTGGCAGATTCACGTGGAGAATCTGGAGAAAATGCTACTATAGTCTATATGTGTTTATATATCATGTGTATATATGCATATATTATATATACTACTTGGTTAATGGATAATTAATTAGGGGCTTTTTGTAAAATTGACCTGAAACTTGAAGTCAACCACAAAACTAACCTCTTTTTTTTTTGGAACTTTATTTTGCCTAATTCACCCTACAAGTTCATGTAATTCACGAAAATGCCATCAATTTGTTTTTTTTTCGAAAATAACATATTTACTCTCTCATCCTCATCATCTTCAAGTAATTACAAGATTGCCATTGTCATCAATACTCTAACAACCATGAACAACCAATTTTGAAGCTCTTAATGCCTCCAAATTCCATTTACCCTTCTTCTTTCTCTATTCTCATGAACTAAACAATACATTACAACACATATCTCTCACTTTCTCTCCACAATGAGCTAAAAAACCCAAGATTTTGATTCTACATTTTTTAGGGTTCATATAGTCAAAGAAATTAAAGATTCAAGGTGGATTACCTTCGTTGGAGCTCCTGAGTGCTCGATTCTACATTTTCTAGGGTTCATATAATCAAAGAAAGTGCTCTCACCAATTGAAGGTATGAAATCGAGTTATTTTTTGCGATTTGTTCGTCCAGACGACTGAAATTTCAGTCGTCTGCTTTCGTCCAGTCAACACAGAAGTTATATTTGCAATTGACTTTGCAATTTGTTTCAAGAGACGACTGAAATTTCAGTCGTCTGCTTTGTTTTGGCTACAAAAAAATATCTTAAGAATCTAGACGACTGATATTTCAGTCGTCGTATGTTAGTTTTGCATTTGACTAAAAAATTTCAGAATTTTGACTTTCTAGGACGACTGAAAT